AATTTTCAGATATAAAAAGAATTCTTCAGAGTTCAGTTCAGTGAAAAGAATTCTTTTTGTATCTAAAAATGAACTTAGAATTGGTGACATACGACTGAATTCTTTTAGAATTCTCTGTGCTATCTAGGTTGAGAACACGGTTGGATTACATCGATAAGACGTGGGTCGTTTGCAATAACAACGGAAGGAGCTTTGATCAAAACCAAACACATCACATTTTTGCATATTTATTGGATTTATTTTTCTAACTATATCGTCGAGTCATCGGAGAAGGGACCAAATTCCGCATTTTCCGGAACAGGGTATATACTCATACATTTGTATATGTATACGAGAGAGATGGTGAAGAAAGTAATATACTATATATTTTGTTGTATGTATATGGATAGTTATCATTTTTCATACATATCTAATATATCATAATTATATGGATATATTAGACCATTGTAATATTTCATAATTGTTATTCTCATTGAACATATTGTAAATGCAAGGCAAGAAGTATTTTGATGAAACCATGTCGTAGGAACTACGGTTTATGTTGCTATAAGATATGTTCGAATTAATAATAATTTACGAACGATATTTTACGAACAATTGAATTAGAACGATACTAAATTAATTTAATTTGAATTCTAACATAAATACATATTGATTAATCGGTTTCTTTTTTATGCGCCTCTGTAACCCATACAGCACAAATATTCAATAGGTATTTTAAGAACGTTCTAAGAATATTCGAATATTTTTCTTAGGATATCTATTGAACATTTGTACTATATGAGAAGTTTCATGTTTTCTAACGATCGATTACTTTTCTGTCTTTCTCTGTCGATAACTGTATAAATTTGCTATTTTCAATAAAAAATGATGCGGAGGAGTCGACTGGTATGTTAGTTACACTTATTAAAATTATTTTAGCAGATTTAATAAATATAATTCTGCTAAAATGTCCTTTTATAAATGTTCACAAAAATTGCAAGAAAATTTCGGAAATATTTCACATGAAAATTAATATAAACACATAGCTTTTATAACGTTTTTTATTTACGTATCACTTTAACAAAGATTAATTATCCGGTAATATTAATTAACAGTAACATTACATCAATATTATAATTTTCCACTCAGTAAAATGCAAGGATCATATAACACATATGTTGTACATAATAATTACATTGTGTGTATTTTTATAAGGACTGCTTGATCTTTTACGATATAGCTTCACTATATCACTTATATAAAATCTCTCTTAATATATTCTGTGTCCTGTAACAGTAAAACAGTCTTTAACAGTTTTCTTTTTATTGTCTGCATTTTTTAATTCTATAAACATATTTGTATTTTTTTCATACTGTGTAATACAATTAATAATGTTCCAAACAATAATATGTTCAAGCTGTAATATGCTCAATTTTGAAATTACTGACTTTTATGGTGTACTTGCACAAGAATTTTCTTAAAAATGAATCCCTGCTCTTTCTAGAAACAGTAAAAATATATTAAGTAAAAATATATTAAGTTAGTTCTAATATAGGACATTTTTCTTGTAAAAAAAGTTCACATTTATATATTATTATTACCTAAATGGATTATTTGATATATTAGGGTTAAAAAGTATGCATTAGTCATTAGGTAATGTTATTATGTTACTTTCTGTTTGCAACTATTTAGGATATTAATCTTTTTAAATGTAACTATAACAATGTTGGTATTATATTTTTGTGAAATAATAACAAATACAATTAAAACTTTTATGATTAGTTTATGAATACATATAAAATATATGTATATGAGACAGCAGTATCGAACTGTCAAGAAAAAAATCTTCAAAACTACATGAGAACAGTACTATTTTTTTAATAATACTAATAAATTCTAACTTTTATGATTAGTTTGTGAATATATGTAGTATACAAGTACATGAGACAGCGGTATCAAATTGTCAAGTAAAAAGATTTTCAAAACTAGATGAAAACAGTACCAACTCAATACTTTTTATGTAATAATAATGATGATAAGTCATTTTTTTAAATTAGTAATAGTCACAGTAAGTTTTTTTCCATAAATGATGAGTAACTAACTAATGCGTAATGCTGTTGCGGTTAGAATTTATTTTTTATCTATAACTACTTAGTAAAGATATTAATCTTCATAAATGTAATAACTGTAATAGCAGAATTATATTGTTCGGGTAATACTAACAAATACAATTGAAATTTGTCTGGTTAGTTTATAAATATATGTAGAATACATGTGCATGTGAGATAAGCAGCATCAACAAAGAAAAAAATCTTCAAAACTTTATGTGGTGCTGCCAAGTCTTGGCACACCATATTCAAAAATATGACATTTTTTTTAAAG